GATGGATGGATGGATGGATGGATGGATGGATGGATGGATGGATGGATTCTATATGCAATTAAAGACATGATATACAGATTGTTTGAACTTCCTTTTTCAGCATCAGAAAAAAATGAAAAAGGAAACATTTCTGGTTTTCAGCATTGTCAAGCTCCTAAATTAAATTTTCAACAACTCACGCAGTCGTTCTCAACCATCACATGAGAAAAAAGTTCTGCAGAGATGATGTATCTAAACTTGTGGAACTCCCAAACCAAGGCTGCAAGACAAAAAAAACATTAGCTTTAAATTAATGCACATCAGCATGCAACATCTGTGGACCAGGCCTGCAGGTGGGAGGGGTCGGGGGTGTTTAGCTGCAATTTATCTAGGGGGCTCTTGAAGGCACCTCGGTGGGTTCCAGGAACTTTGTTCCCTCTGATGCCCACTAGATGTCGCACAAACAACAGCAGCTTCTCTCAGTTCTGGTTAAAGGCTCCTGCAGGTTCTGTTAACAGATCGCCTCCTCTGGTTAAAACAGGCTTCATGCTACAAGGACGGAATATCATCACGAGTTAAGCGCGTGCGTCATCAAGACACCGGCGAAGGTTGCGTGAGGAGCGTCAGAGCAAAACCAACCATCCACCGATCCCAGATCAGCGTCTTCATTAAGCAGCCAATCAATCAATGGTGAGCGGCTCAACCCGCGCGTGACCCCCGCGTCTCCTGGAGGAGGAGGAGGAGGAGGAGGAGGAGGAGGAGGAGGAGGAGATGCGCATATCTGCAGGTCTATAGCGCGGTCGTAAAACAAGTCTGCAGCCGAACCGAACCATGCCGGCTGTCACCAAGTACAACCTGGTGGACGACGCGCGCGATCTGAGGCTCCCCATGCACAACGAGGAGGTGTTTAAGCATGGGGTCTGCTTCGAGGCAAAGGTAAGACCCCCCCCCCCCCACACACACACACACACACACACACACACACACACACCCTGCAACAGATAGAGCATCAAGTCTGTTGGTCCAATTACTTCATCTTCATCATCACATCTGCACGATGGCCTCATCAGAACGGTTTTTATTTTATTTATTTGTTGTTGTTGTTGTTGTTGTTGTTGTTGTTGTTGTTTTGTCTGGCAGTGATCTTACCAGTAATTTCTTAAAGCCACATGTTTTGTTTGGTTTATTAAAAGCAGCTATAATAATCCTTCTGGCCACCTGAAGGTGATACCTGCTGATGAAACCATGAATCACGATGAGTGTGAATGTGTGAACTCTTGTGTTTTCAGTACATCGGCAGTCTGGAGGTGGGACGCCCGGGCAGTCGACTGGAGATTGTTGCTGCGATGAGGAGAATCAGAGTAAGATTTAAAATATAGATGTTAATCCTGAATCAGAAGGGATTCTCCAGTCCTGTCTGGGGTTCTGTGTAAACGCTGTGAACAAATATCTTACCTGCTGTAGATTGCTCTTTGTTTGACAGTTCGGAGAAATGGAGTTTATTCCTGACTGGACAGATGAGCTAACAGCTAATGTGATGGCACTGAAAAACAAAGTGGATGGTTGTTGTCTTAAAACAACTCCATCCATTCATCATTTTACCGGCTTCTTACTTTTCGGGTCACATGGGTCACTGATGCTCATGTCCAGCTATCACTGTGCGAGAGGTGGCCTGGAGGCAGGGGACACCCTGGACAGGTCTCCAGTCCATCACAGGGACAAACAAGACAAAAACCATTCACTCTCTCACTCACACCTAGAGACAATTTAGAGTTACCAATCAGCCTAACATGCATGTTTTTGACCTGTGGGAGGAAACTGGAGCACCAGGAGAAAACCCACACATGCACAGAGAGAACATGCAAACTCCACCCAGAAAAGTTCCCGGACCGGAATTTGATCCAGCGACCTCCACGCTGAGAGGGAACAGGTCTACCTACTGCACCACCGTGCCGCCCGAACACTTTTTCATAGACCTTCAATTCTACATTATATTGTCATTTGTTTATGAGTGCAGAAAGCAGCAGCAGCAGTGTGATGTAGCACTTGTGGTGCAGTTTGGGGTCACTACTGACAGAAATGTCAATACTTTTATTTAATATAAATTATAATAATTATTATTTATTCATATTTATGTGGTATTAATATTTATCTACACCTCAGATAAATAATGTTAGCTTACTTTTTATGTATATATGTATAAATAAACTGAATTGAATCTTTCTACAGAAATAATTACAATGGAAAATCCATGATGTCAAGGTTTATAAAGTAACATAAGCATGAGATATTATAACATTTTGAAGATTAAAGTTGCTTTAAAACAATTAAATCTGCTTTAAAGATGGGTCCACTTTGACATACTGGTAAGCTAATACTGGCTTGTCCAATCTGGTGCATCACCATGAATTGACAGCATTTGTTCTCCCTCACCCGTCACCTGACTTTGAGGAGCAGAGTTTGGTCAGAATCATGGGGTTGTCAGAGAAGATTTAAATCATGTGACGGCACCGGGGAACATCTTTCTCCATGTCTTCGTTCTTCTGAACAACACCAGGCTGCACATCACTGCAGCGCCGCGCAGCAGCCGGGCTGCAAGGATTTAGCTGCTCGTCAGCTTTATATCTAATCTAACAACCGAGTTGTGTCAGCCGGAGGTCAGCCACTCTGACACCCAGGAAGGACGGACCTAATCCTGATCTCTGGCCAGCGCTGTGCCATAAGGGCCATTTTACTGAAGTGGCAAAGACTTACTGCAGCAATATGGATGTTGGATGTTGTCAGAGGTGGTTTTTACAGCTTTTAAGAGATTTTCAGACATGTTGCGTTCAGAGCAGAAGATGTGATGACAAACATTTAAACAGCAGCTCAAATTTTAAAAAAAAATTGATTCAAACACGATGCTCAAGGTTAAGAGCTGTCTCGATAAATGTGCAGTTTCTGACTACATCTGCAGTAACAGATCCTATTTATATACTTACAGTACTTCTATAGTAACTATATTTTATCTTATACTTGTATTATGACCCTTTTGTTATCTAAAAACAGTGAGGGTTTTGTTTCTTGAGGCACAATGAATAAAATGTGAGGGATAAATAGAAGCAGACGGTGTGGAAAGGTAAAAAATAAAAGCTGTGATGGATTTTCTGAAATTATGGTGGACTCAAGAATCAAACAAGATAATTTACTATTTTTTTATGTATTAAATGTTATATCAAGGGGAGTGGTGTAGAAGTTAAATAAGGTGGGCCTGTGATTGGAAGGTCTTCGGTTCAACTCCTGGACGGACAACATCAAAATGTGGGTGGGAAAGTTGAAACACCTGCCTCCACCCTCCTTTGCCCCACTCTGGACCCTTGAGCAAGGCCCTTAACCCCCACCATCTACTCCCCAGGCGCTCTAGATAGCAGCTCTCTGCTCCACACAGAGGGCTGTGGTAGCTCGGTGGACTGTGGTTGCTTCAGGAAGAGCATCTGGCATAAAAACAATCACCAGATCTTTGTTTGAGTTAGTTAGCGGTGGCGACCCCTGAAGAAGGGAGCAGCCGAAAGAAAAATAAGAATTAGGTGTTCTGTCAGGACATAAATTGAACAGAGTAGTGCGTCTGCAGAAGCTGGGGCCAGAGTCCAAACAAAACAGGAAGTATGAATAACCTTATGGGCCTGTAGTTTGAGCAAAATCAAGCCCACGAGCCAATCAGCTTCCAGAAGAGCTTTCAGTCAGAGCATGAACCCACTGACGGGAGCTGCTCAACCAGAGCTCCTCCACTCCACAGTTTAGACGTCACAACATGAAGAACTTTGTCATTCTGCAGTAAAAGTAAAATGTCTTGTTTTTGTTATTACAGTCATAATGCCCATTTTATCCACAAATATGGAATGTTCTTTGAATATAGTCATAATATGATATATTTTATCCACAAGACAAAGAATGAAAATGTGTTACAGCTTCAGAAAGTTCCCCAACCTCTTTTATTTTTATTTTTTTCAGTTTTGTTTATTTAGCTTACTATTACTCACTTACTATTTAATATCTGCATGTGGGCCACATGAGGCAACTTAACCTGACTTGGCCTGGATTAGAAAGGCTCACACCTCTCTATAGAGGACCTCCACCTGACAATCAGAAAGCAGCTCCACAAACAGCCCCTGTTTTTCTGGACTGAGCCTGAGTGGACCAGCTGGACATTTACAAAGACAAATGACATCAAATCCTAAAACCCAGGTGTGCCAAGCTCGTTCCATCAAACCCAAAATAACTCAAAGCTGGAATGGTTATAGGCTGCTTCAACTCGGGAATAATACTTTTGGACAATGTGATATTTTGTTTTTATCTTTTTCGAAAAAATTACAAAACTGTATAATAAACTAAATATGTCTTCACTTTGACATTATGGGGTACTTAGCACAGCTTACTGAGACAAAAATCATTATTTTAAACAATTGTAGCATCAGGCTGCAACATGATAAAATGTCAAAAAGTGAACAAGGTTATCCACCTTATTCCTAGGCCCCATGATGCCTTGCGTCATTTATGGGCACAACTTCCGGTGCGGATCAGAACCGGCGTTTGTTTATGTGCAAACAGTACGAGCTAATGTAGTTTCTCAGAGCATTGTAGATTTAAATAGGTCATCTGGATGGTTTCTTTTATTTTGCAGAGGAGTTTCGTCCTTCATCCAAAGGACGTCTTCAATCTGAGGATCCACCAACAAACTGATTTCCACTAACAGCATACTTCATAGTGGAAATAGTAGTAGCACTCCATAATTTTTCTACTATGGTGTATGCAGTTTGTGGAAATCAGTTTATTTTGGTGGCTCCTCAGATTGAAGACGTCCTTTGGATGAAAGACGAAACTTCTCAGCAAAAAACAAAACAGTCCAGATGACCTGACTGAACTTTGGTGGATTTCTACTTGGATTATTGAGCATGAACATTGGTGTTGTGGATTTAATTTAAACATGTAAGAACACCGTCTATCAGAGCTCAAACAGGACAATATAATCATACTGCTGCCTGCTGAGGACGAGGGATGGAGGACAAGCTGAAGAAGTGGCTGCAGATTACATCTACTAGCATATTTAGCTACTTATACTAGCATATTTAGCTACTTTTACTAGCATATTTAGCTACTTATACTAGTATATTTAGCTACTTTTACTAGCATATTTAGCTACTTATACTAGCATATTTAGCTACTATGCTAGCATATTAGGCTACTATGCTAGCATATTTAGCTACTTATACTAGCATATTTAGCTACTTTTACTAGCATATTTAGCTACTTATACTAGCACATTTAGCTACTTATACTAGAATATTTAGCTACTTTTACTAGCACATTTAGCTACTTATACTAGCACATTTAGCTACTTATACTAGCATATTTAGCTACTTTTACTAGCATATTTAGCTACTTATACTAGCATATTTAGCTACTTCATTGACTCTGTTCTTCTGACGGTGAAGTGATGAACAACCTGAAAAGCTCTGAGGTGTATCAGTATCTACACAGTAATAAAGTCAGTCGTGTTTTGTTAAAAGATGTCGGACACAATCTTATTAACTTTAAATCAGACACAGAGCAGCCAAAGCCTTAAAGTCCTCCATCACTGAGCTTGGGTTAATTACTGATAAAATCATAAAACTGAAGATGAACAAATACTTTAATGCTGCTGTTTCCTTCATACACTTGAAATCATACCTGATATTGTCGTCACTGTTTTCAATCCTTCTGAGGATCCAGCGTCTCTTCTCCGGTGGTTTATTGTCCAGACACAAAGTAGGATGCAGGTTTTCCTCCGTCGGCCGTTTGTCAACAAAGTGAAATGAACAGAGAGAGTTTTGGGTGGTCTCTTCAAATTCACATTTTTCAGCCACGTTCTTCTTAACTCCTCATCTGTAGGTGGGAGATGGAAACTAAACCTCTTTTCACAGGAACACTTTTTGTTTTGTGTCCGTGTTCAAAACTCTGTTGTTGTAGCACTGGTTTAGTTTGGTCTGGTTGTTCTGCAGCTGTGAACACAACAGGTACCTGAACTCAGCACGGCTATTTTAGTAAACTTTATGGTTGTTAAATAAATGTAAACAAAACAAAAACTGTTTTATCTGTTAAACTGAATGAAAATTACTTTCATATAAACTGTGGTCCGTGCTCCACTACCATGGTTAACCAATGCTCACTGCTACTTCCTGTATCTGACAGGAAGTAGTACCATCATCATTTATACAGTAGAGCCCCCTGAAATAAGGTGGATAAAATTCTTCCTGAAGTGACTGTCAGCAAGAATAAAACTTAAAAATCTACCGGCTGTTTGTGAGCTCTGCCCTAATGTGATCATTTCAAGTCTACACTTCTGAAAAGAGAGAATATTCGAAATGTAACGAGTCCTTCAAACACTCACTGCGACTCAGAGCAGAGTGGAGGTCACTGACTCAACCTGTAGCGCTCACATCCGTTAGTTTCAGACTGGTGTGCACGAGAACAGGAACACTCCCAGCGTTCCACTTCATCTCCCCCTGACAGCTCTGTGCACCGAGATGAAATGGACCTCTTGGCCCAGTTTATGTGAGAAGACACACACACAGGGGATCTGTGTCCTTCATGTGGAAATCTAGAACTCCCACACAACAACAAGGTGGATTAGATGAGAGCACAAGTCAGGAACACAGGTCACTGGTCTGAACTTTTTCTAAAAGCTGAACTCACAACCATCATCTGTGGTGAAAATCCTAACGTCCACATCTTCTGTGGTGTTAATAAAAGACAAGACTGCTGCTGAAAGTAAAAGCAGAACTTAGATGTTATTTTTACAACAATCTAAGGAAAGATGACAGAAAATATCCCAGTGTGCTCTCACTTATTTCAAAGAAAGCAAGGTGGCACGGTGGTGCAGTTGGTAGAGCTGTTGCATCTCAGTGAGAAGTTCGATGGTTGAAATCCCGGTCCGGGGGCCTTTCTGGGTGGAGTTTGCATGTTCTCTCCGTGCATGTGTTTTGTTTTCTCCGGGTACTCCAGTTTCCTCCCACAGACCAAAAACATGCATGTTAGTCTGATTGGTAACTCTAAATTGTCCCTAGGTGTGAGTGAGAGAGTGAATGTCTGTTTGTCTCATTTGTCTCTATGTGTCCCTGTGATGGACAGGGTGTCCCACACCTCTTGCAGTGATAGCTGAATATGGGAACCAGTGACCCTCGTGACCCAAAATGGAAAAAGCGGGTAAATATCATGCATGGATGAATCGTTTCAAAGAACTTCCTCCAGTCAGTTCATCGTCTGATGTTGGACTTTGTTTTTTGTTGTTTTTTTAAAACTTATTTTTAATAAATCTTGGTTGTTTTTCATCTCTGTGCATGTGTTGAGTCTGAGCCTGCAGTGAAAGTATTAATCATGCAGAGGGATGAAAGTCTCACTCATGACTGACTCCCTCTGGGAAGTCTGCTTTTAAAGGCTTAAAAATCATCCTGAAACAGAAACTGACAGTTTCTCAATGTTTACTAAATCCCCGGAGAAGTAGATAAAAATATCCCTCCTCTCTTTCATGTGTAAAAAAAGCTCCATCTCTGCTGTAATATATTTAAAAAGAACCAGTTTGTTTTGATTGTATTTTTGATGATTTCTGTTGTTTTTTTTCCTCCGCAGTATGAATTCAAGCTGAAAAACATAAAGAAGAAGAAGGTGAACATTCTTGTTTCCACCAATTATGTCAAAGTGTTCCTGCGCAAGAAAAAGAAGGTATGTTTTAATCAGCCAGTGCCACGAACAATGGGTGATCATGTAACTGAATGATGCAGCGCTGCAAAAAACTCTTACACATTTCATCTGTTTTTGTTTTTCAGCACCACCTAACTCTGTTAGAGGAGCAAACAAATGTTAACGTAAGACAACGAATAATTACAAAATGCAGGTTTAATATTATATTATCATTTATTTAGTAAATAAAAAGCTATCTTCCTTTTATAAATGAAATTATCATTTAAAAACTATGTTTGTATTTACTCAAGGTATTATTTTTTTGTTTGATAATCTGAAAGATTTTTATCGTTTGGAGGAAAAAAGCAAAAACAGAAGAAATCATTCATTCAACCTTTATTTGTACAGGTTAGTCTCATTGAGCCTCGAGGACTCATTTACGAGAGACCTGATTTAATCAAAGATCGATAAGGGAGTGAATCTGTAAAAAATCTGTAAAGAAGGGAGTGAATATGTTTTCACAGCACAGTAAAAAAAAACTGCATTTATAAAGCACTTTTCTAGCCTTACTGACTACTTAAAGTACTTTTATGTGCCATGAGACACTTTTACACACCAGAACACTGATGTGGGGCAGCGTGGGGTTTGGTGTCCTGCCACATTAAGATATGTGGTGAGGAACCCTGTATCTATTCACCAGCTCTCAAACACACAGGTTCCTTCTCTACCTCCTGAGCTTCAGCTGCCCACATCGTATCAGATGATATATTTTATTGTCCAACAACCAAAATCATTCTGTCATTTTGCCACAATACAATCATACAATCTGCTGCTTCCCTAAGATAGATACATTTTACTAATTGGCTTTAATGTTGGTCTTAACAGGTCTCTCTTGTAAATGAGTCCTTGAGGCTCAGTGGGGACTAACCTGTATAAATAAAGGTTGAATAATGTAATTAGAAACAATTAAGGCAATTAGAAACACCCTCGTCCATCCATCTTGTTAGGTATAGGTAACACTGAAAATATGTTATTTACAGACCTCCTTTGTGGTGTGTAGCAGCAGCTACGCTTTAAGAAAGGTCATTATCAACAAAATGGGTTGTCACATCAAAATCCAAGATGGCTGCCGCCGTATATGTATAAATGTAAACCTTGTGAGAACTTGGAAAAATAAGCAACGTACTGTCTTCAATTTTGGTGTGTGGATTACATCTAGTTGCAAGAAAGATCATTGTTGAAAATTGATTTGGTATGTCAAAATCCAAGATGGCCACTGCCATAAATAAATGTTAACGGGTCACCCCGATCATTTGAAAAAAACTATACTTTCTGGATTTATATTTCTTAAAAGTGTAGTTTCTTCAAATGATAGGGGTGGCTGAAGATTATTTGATTGTGGACAAGGCCACCATTGGCCACCCCCTGGCTCCACCATTGTGCCTGGCGGTGGATAAAATTGCTCGCTCTGCTTGCCAGGATCTGTCACTCTGTGCCAGCTCGGATAAGCAGCACAACCTACCTCACATCTTATACACAGTGCAACTCCGACCCAAACTACAAAACTTGTTTTTGTTTTCCTGCTAAATTATAGTTTCTATTTGGGGGCAGCTGTGGCTAAGTGGCTAGAGCAGTCATCATCCAGTGCAAAAATCGGGGTTCAATTCCACCAGCAGTCACATGCTGAAGTGTCTCTGGGCAACACAATGAACCCCTCATTGCCTCCGATGTGTGTCCCACCGGTGTTTGAATGTGATATAGTTCTGATTAGTCTTTGTACAAATGTACTAGAGTGCTGTATGAATGTGTAGAGGACACAGATTGTGTTGTAAAGCGCTTTGAGTATCATGATAAGATAGAAAGGCGCTATATAAGTACAGTCCATTTACCATTCTATGCCAAACAGTTTGTTTGTTCATAAAGTATGTCATAAATCACTGGATCGAGTTAATGAAATGCTCATAAAGTAATCAGCGATATATTTCTACATCTGGCACAGCCACCACATCTAATCAACCTTGGAAAACACAAAAACTGCGCCAACTTTATCAGTTTTACAGATATTGATCTGCAATTTTGTGTGTTGGTGCCTGAGCCTCATCCCCAACATGACCATTTTGACCATTTTGTACCTGATTCTGTCTTTTACTATGTTTCCACAGAGAAAAGAATGGTCATCTGATGAGAACTCCATCCTGGTGACACAAGATCCCATCCACAGGTGTGCTGTTGCCATTCCCTCTTGATAATACGCAGTACAGTATATACTACATATA